TAAGGTTCCACGAGGGTTCCACAAGGGTTCCACCAGGGTTCCACCAGGGTTCCAGCAGGGTTCCACCAGGGTTCCACCAGAGTTTATTCCATTCGCCAAAAATGTGTGAACATGTTTAAACAAACAGTAGCAATAAGCTCAGGCGACATCCCCGGCAGCATGTGCTCTTTTTAGTGCTCGCACCACCCCGCAGCCCCCGCAGAACCTCTTTGGAACCCTCGTTGGAAGTTTCGGGGCAATCAAAGGAGCCGAAGGATGTTGCAAGTAGATGGCACACCTCCCGAGTGGCTTCATCCCCAGCGACTTGTGGCATCGACGTTCCAGACGCGCCGCTCAGGCGAGGAAGCGGAGGATGACGAGGAGGCGCCGTGGTTTCGGCAAAAAGGAACGAGGAGCGGTGCTCCTTGAATCGAAGGCTTCACCGGTTGCTGTATGTTTCTCTTTGCGAAGGGGGTGACCAAGACGCGACAACAAGAAACAACAAGCATCTCGGGGGGGAAAAAACAAACACTTGCACTTTGCGAATGTTTGCTCACCAGGAGCCTTTCCAAAGCAGATCCACAGGGAATTTTGGAGTCATGAAAACAAAAGCTTCGATCAGACGAACGCTTTGGCTCTTGCAACTCAATGGAGAGCCGCGGATATCTTTGGGGGGGGTTCTTGCGGGATGTCTTTGCGGTCTATCGGGGTGACTTTGGGGTGTGTTAGGAAGGAGTCTTTGGGGGGATATCTCTCGAGGATATCTGTGTGTTGGGGTTCCTTTAGGATCTCTTTGCAGCTGTTTGGGGGAAATGCGTTCTCATGCAAAACGCGTGTGTGTGTGTGTTGTGTGTTGTGTGTTGTGTGTTGTGTGTTGTGTGTTGTGTGTTGTGTGTTGTGTGTTGTGTGTTGTGTGTTGTGTGTTGTGTGTTGTGTGTTGTGTGTTGTGTGTTGTGTGTTGTGTGTTGTGTGTTGTGTGTTGTGTGTTGTGTGTTGTGTGTTGTGTGTTGTGTGTGTGTGTTGTGTGTGTGTGTGTGTGTGTGTGGTGTGTGTGTGTGTGTGTGTGTGTGTGTGTTGTGTGTTGTGTGTTGTGTGTTGTGTGTTGTGTGTTGTGTGTTGTGTGTTGTGTGTTGTGTGTTGTGTGTTGTGTGTTGTGTGTTGTGTGTTGTGTGTTGTGTGTTGTGTGTTGTGTGTGTGTGTGTGTGTGTGTTGTGTGTTGTGTGTTGTGTGTTGTGTGTTGTGTGGTGTGTGGTGTGTGTGTGTGTGTGTGTGTGTGTGTGTGTGTGTGTGTGTGTGTGTGTGTGTGTGTGTGTGTGTGTGTGTGTGTGGTGTGTGGTGTGTGGTGTGTGGTGTGTGGTGTGTGGTGTGTGGTGTGTGGTGTGTGGTGTGTGTGTGTGGTGTGTGGTGTGTGGTGTGTGGTGTGTGGTGTGTGGTGTGTGGTGTGTGTGTGTGTGTTGGCTTTCAGGGTTCTACCCCCACTGTTGTAGGAGTTTACCCGAATATAGAGTTAGAGCCGGGAGAATAAAATGCGTTGGAGCTGGGTGTATTCCGTGCTCAAGGTTTGTTGTTCGGAGACCCATCTTGCAATTGGTTGAAGGACGGGGAATACTTGTCGACTTCGGATTTTTCCGGACCCAACTAAGAGGAACATCCCAAATTCGGTCGTTTCCCTACTAAAAGGGAACCACTTGATAAAGTACAGTCCTTCGGATTATGGCGAGATCATTGCTTTTGGGGTCCATTTCTTTCGCCATGGCTGTTGTTGCGCGCGTTGGACCTCCAGCCGCTTGATAGAGCCATCTATAGAGCCATTGCAAGTCCTGGGGATTGGAGATGTATTTTATCCCGAAAAAAGCCGTGCCCCTTTTAAAGGCAGCTTTGGGTTTAAACCAGCCCTGCGGAGCTGCGGAGTCCAGTCACAGCAAGTTATTTGGGATATCCCACTAACATAGATATGCCATTCGGGGCAAGGGCGACTTTACACCATGGTCTGGGTGGGTGTAGGGGCCCGTTTTGTCACTTGTGGTCAGAGCGAATTCAGAAGCAAACCAACCGAGTCAGGGATTTCGCACTGTAGGACAATGGTCAAAACTAGCGTAGGGTTGACAGTGGGGTGATGTTACTTTAGACACCCTTTTCCTTTGCGGGTGCCCAATCACTCATAGACGCTTCAAGTTCGAGCAAACCACGCGGCGGTGTTTTCTCAGATCTATTGATCTGAAGCAAAGCGCCTCCCTTTCAGGTTACTCCTCGCCTGGTTCGGCGCAGGTCACTCCGGCGTCCTTCGGCCACGGAGAGGGTGTTCTGGTGGTGCCTTGGCCCGAGAACGTCCCACCCGGACTTACGAACTTACGATCTTTACCGTCCTCTTCGCGGCAAGCCTATATTTTTGCTTCCTCACATGGAAGCTCCCAATGGCGTCCTAGGATAAAGATCCCCTCTAGACTGGTCGGCTTCCTTGTGGCTTTCATGCAGCCGTCCAAAAAGAGGCGAATGTTGGAAAGCCCCGATTCGCAGAGGAATCCTCCTTTGGTTGGGACGAGTTTCTTGGCGCAGGGCTGAATGGTTAACCCCAAAGTAAGGATTCAACCAAAACCTGGTCCTTTCCTCTTCAGGTTTTTCACACCAGACGAAGGGATGATCCTGTGCACCGTGTGGCCTTTAGGCCGTTAGGCGCCCTTGCGGCACCCGTGGGCGGGGGGGGATAGGGCAAAGGAGGTTTGCAAGCACCCGGCAAATACCCGCCCGGCTAACATGAGCTCTCCCAGGAGTTCCATTTGAGCAGCGTCCAAAACCTCCGCGCCCTGTGCTTCTCTGGGCTACGCTCTTTTGGGGTGGTTTTCAAGGGACACGACCAGGAAGGCCACCTTTTGGGGTCCGAATATCGCCATGTTGAGACATGCCCCGTCGGCTCGTGCCTTGCTGAGGACTTTTTGGTGGAGTCCTCACAGGCAATGGGCCGGCGTGGGGTTGGTTTGCCTGGTGAGGTTGTCGCGGACGATGTTCGGCGTCTCTCGCAATGGTGGGTTTGGATGGGCGGTGAGGTTGGAAAGTGGTACCCGTTACCGCCCAAAGGATTGCCCGTTTGGGAGGGCAAAAGCTGAGTTGGAGAATCATAGGAGCTTTATTCCCTGCTTTCCAGCAGAAATCAAGATGTTCTGGCTCCGCATGCCAACGTGATCTCAGTGTATGTGTATATTGACGGATGTTTGATGCACGCCGGCCTGACTGCGGCTGTTGGCAGCGTCGGAGCAGAAGTGTCAAGAATGCAGTGGATCAGTTCTAGGTCCCCCAGTAGTGCCCTTTTACCCGTTTTTGGGGGAGGGTTCCCCTACTAAAATAGACTGCAGAAAAAAAATCGGGCACCCTTGTTCTAACCTCTCTACTTGAGGACCTAGATTTGATTTGGCATGAGGCAACTGCTGCGACTGGGCACTTTGCCCTGGCCTTCTCATAGGAGACGTGGAGCTTCCTTTGGATTCGCCGGGAACTGCAAATCCGGACAACAATTCGACCTACGCAAACAGAGCGTTCTACGCGTTGGACCCATTGGACACACATACGGGCTCGAAAGAGCGGACTTTTTCTGCAGTTCAATCTCCTGGTGGGTTTCTCCTGTTTGGTCGTGCCTTTTTCTGCACTTTGCCAAGGACACACTTGCATCATTGATGCTTCGTTCCGATTTAGAACTAGAACTATCAGGGCGGCCCGCAAAATGCCGCTGGTGATCCTGCGTTACATTCATATAGCGCATGTTCAGTTCAGCTACAGTACTGCAGGAGGCTGAGACATGGTGGCCAGAAGATCACTTCCAGAGAATCTCACGGCCAAAGAGTGTTTCACAGGGTCGGGAGTGGTGCTGAATTGACGCCTAGTGAAGGGTTGTAGTAAACAGGATGTTGAAGCCAATTCTTATCATACGGGTTTGTCTTTTTGGTGGAGCATGGTATGCCCCTTTTTGATTCGTTTAAAAGGACATCAAATTCTTTGGGGCTACCCCCAACACCAGCCCACACTATGTGACCGCGCAAAGCCCATTTTCAAGCGCAAACGACCCGATAGATTCCTCCGCGCCATCCGCCGGACCTGAGTACAGGGAGGGATCCCTGTGCTGGGCGACTTTTCATGCCAATCCCGCTACACGTTACAAGCGCTGGTTGGACCCTTCGCTGTTTTGCATGGATTGAGGGAGTGGGATGAGGTGGGTGTGGCTCAAACTTAACCAGGAGGGGGTTACGCAGGTTTTGGTCCATGTTTCCACTTGCCAGGGTTCCATTTTGGTAACAGCAAGGTCCAATTCCGGCGACGTGGATCTTTTCTCAGCTATAAACAAAACAGCTATTTGTTTGCAACAGAGGCATTCTTCATGATTTCGGCTGGGCTTGGATGAATCTGAATAGAGATTTCAGCAGAGTCTAGAACTATCCAGCACATGTCGCCGGAATTCCCAGTTTTGCGACCCACAATGATGCTTGCTTGTCATGGTCTTTCAATTGCGAAATAATTTATTGGAATTTGCATTCATATCTGTTGCATGATGTGTTTTTCTAGCAGGCGGATGGAAAGAACTGGGCTCATGTCACTTTTCTGCTTCACGCCTGTGCTGCATTTTGGCTTGCAGCTGAGGCCAGGGTGAAAGCTGAGAAGTTAACAGGGTTCTTTGGGAGCACCTCTTTCCACGCCTTCCGGTCGCCCACTTTGACATCTCACGGAAAACCTCACGGGTGCCTACAGAGGGACTGTTTGGACGGCATGGCTACCCAGCATTTGAGGGATTCGAGCAAGAGACGGCCAACCACAAAACAGTTAACGCTCTCGCCGAGCCCTTGGTCTAAATGGGGTTGTGTCAAAGGGATTCGGACCCCAAGAATCCACGGCTTTGTGGCAATTCCCTTTAAACCCCCCCCCCCCCGAAAAAATATTGAAAAAGGAATGGGTACCCCCACCACCCACCCCAAATTGGGTATACCCTCCAAAAGACACAGATCCAAGAGCTAAAATCATGCTACCAACCTGCCTGAAAAACGCGGAGCTTCGCAGAGCCGTTGACGAGCCACGAAATCTTGGCGCGGCACAACGCCATGCCAACTTGCAGTACACTAGCGCGCTATGCAGGCGAAGCAGGCGGGAATTCCCCAGGAGGGTTCCCCTACTAAAATAGACTACAGAAAAAGGGTATACCCTTATTCTAATCTCTGGAATGGAGGACCCAGTCTCTGAACTTATGGAGTGGTTTGCAAAACCCGGCGCGGTGAATACGTGGTTTGCCCATCGCTTACGCTGGGTCCGGGGGTTGTGGCATGGTTGTGGTGAGTCGTTTCCAGCATCAGGTGCTCAAACAATGGCCTATTGAGTGTCCATTCCGAGGGTGCCCCATTTTGAATTGGGTCCAATCCGCTTTCAAGCTTCGCCTTGGCGTGCGGCTCAGTAGCGTTGAGGCTTGAATGCCAGGCGTTCATTGGCTGCTTTCCAGACCTCAATCGGCCGCTGTTGGTTTCTTTTGGGAGGGATGTCAACACAGAATCAAATGGTTGTGTCAAGCAAAACGAGGGTTTTGGTGATGATGAAGGCATGTTAGGTGTTTGTTGGGTGGGGTGGCCTGGCTTTGCTTTCAAACACGCTCGAATCTAGGAATTGAGTTTTCTTTAAACCACCTTTTGCCCAAAAATGGAGGTGGGGCTGTGTCCTGCAATATGCTGCATGCTGACTCCCAATTAGTTACACAGGCTTCCAAATTGAATCGAGGTTCTCCCATCGTTGGCAGTGCACAGGCACCCCACAACTGAAGGGGCTCATTCAGGCTGAACTTTTGCTGCTTTTCCGAGCGTTCACATGAAAGGGCGTTGGATTCCAGTGAAGCCTCGATCCATTGGGTCCGAGGTGGCGCTTTGGATGCTCCTCGTCTCCGCGAATGCGCAGCTGAGGAGAGTGGACTTAACGGGCTCCTTTGGTGTAGGATTCTTTCCAGAGCTCCGGTGGTGCCTTGCCTTTCTGTACTTGGGTGTTCCTTTAAACTCAACCAGTTCGAATTGAGTCGAGTTGAATTGGATCTCTGAAAGAAGCGAAGCACAAGCAATAGACTGAGAAACCAATCATGTCTTGGAATCGTTCATGACCAAGACATCCATCATCGAATCCCTGCTTGTTTGACCATTCCGGACCTATGAAATACATAAGATTTGTTACAGCCAGTTTTGCAAGTTGATGGCATCTGTAGCTTCACATAGCTTCGCTTTGTTGTTTGGATCTAAACGACTCGCTTGCGTCAGGGTCTCCGGCTTCAGGACTTCTACCACTTGCAGCATCCCCTGCAAGCCTGGCGAATTCAAAGCAGCCGCTTGGAGCCATCCGTGTTGACTATCGAACTCTGCGAGACTTTTGGCACGGCTGACTCGCCGCCACTGTGCCCCAGAAAGCCTTTCTGGCTTTTCTTTTCCAGTTTCTGGATCAGTGGTTCGCTTTTTGTGGAATCCATCGGTAAGACGATAGAGACCGTGCAGGGGTGCCCTAGCAGCTCAAACCTTCCGAAGGAAGTCCCCGTGAAGCCGCACGGATCGAGCCCAACCTGAAGTCTGAAACTGCTCGAAGGGTTTCTGCTGGAACTGGTATTGGTTTCTTCCGCACTTCTGCCAAACGTGGTCGAGGCGATTGTGCTTGTTCGTGGGTTGTAAATGGTCATGACTGACTTATGTGTGTGTGTGTATGAGTGCGCGGCTTAAATGTTTACAGCGTAGGTACGCTGACAAGCTGCAAGCTTTCAGCGAACGCAAGGTATGCTTTTGGGTTGTAGTCGACCCCGCTAACCTTGTCAGTAAACGGAGCCCAAGAATCAGGAAATGAGACGGCCATTTTGCTTTTCGGAATAAGGATAATTAGGGAAACCAAAACCATTGACAGAGGCTTAAACCCAAGCTCCCGAAGCATGTTTTGCATGAGAATTGACCTAACAATTTGCGAAACACCTGGTGCGTGTTTCTGCTCATGGTTGGCCTAGGTCCCCCAGTAGTGCCCTTTTACCCTTTTTGGGGTAGGGTTCCCTACCAAAATAGACTACAGAAAAAAGTTGGTCCCCTTATTCTAAGCTCTCTATTGGAGGACCTAGTGTCTCGCCGTGTCAACTGTGAGTCTTGAACATTAGGCACAAGGTGTTCTCCTCAATCAGGTTGCCAAGAGAAGTAACCCCGTGATGAAGGTTTCGTGCTTGGAATTGTTTTTCCAGGTGTTGAACTGATCGATTTTGCGGAATACATGGCGATTTGTGTGTAATTTGTTGAAAACTGGGAATCTCCAACCAACCCTTTCACCCATCCTAAGGAACTTAGCGACCAAAAGCAGGTCCTTGCACTTTGGTCGTTGTCCAATGCGTAGCTTGCCCTCTCTCCCTTCCTCTGGACCAACTGTTGGTCCAGATATCATGTCTATCCCCCAGTAGTGCCCTTCTCTCCCCTTTTTTGTCCGGAGGGTTCCGGGTTCCCCTAAAATCGACCAAACCGAAAAAAACAAAAGTCGGGTGCCCTTATTCTAAGCTCTCAAATCTGGAGGACCTAGTCACAGTGGCAAAAAAGAAAATGGACCTTTGGGTCGGGGGTCGGGGGTTCTGCGTCTCCAACCTCTCAGGATCCCTTGGTAGTTCTTTGCGGAGGCGGTCGATGCACCGCAGAGGCCGGGTGATTCGTGTCTGATTCGTCTGAATTCGGCCAGCAGTGTCAGGCAAAAGCCCGTGAAAATGGTGTTTTTTTGGTTCCCCTTTGGTTTCCCTTTGGTGTCCCTTTGGTTTCCCTTTGGTTTCCCTTTGGTTTCCCTTTGGTTTCCCTTTACACTCTCGCCAAGGGCAACTTGAGGAGGGATAGAAGGGACAGAAAATACAGGTGCAGCAACGGCACGTACGCAGCAAGCAACGGGTTGCAATTGCGTCAGAGGGCTTCAGTGGCATGTGCGAGGTAACTGGTTGCACACATGGCGACGCGTTGTCCGCCGTGGAGCAGTGGTCATCGCAGCAACTCAACACATATGAGTCGCAGCGAATGGTACTGACGCCGTGAAGCAGGACCTTGGCAAGGGCCCGGCATTTTGGGCAGACGCAACAGCAGCTATATGCGCATGACCAAACGTGCGCATGCCAGCGAGAATTTCGAGCGGGGCTCAAGGATGAACTTCACATGAAGTCAGTCCCCCAGAACATGTCAGAAAGTTTCAGAACCAGAGTCGTGGTAGCTGTGGTCAAGTTCCGGAGCGAGCCATATGTTACCCTTTCAGAAACAATCATAGGACAAGAGCGAAGCCCTTTCCGTAAGGAAGTAGTGTGCCCAAAGGAAAGTTTGCGGAACGGACATGTTGGGTGGTTGGAGGTATTAGAGCAGACGGTCAACTTTGGACTTCTTGATGGCAGTTGAGATGAAGCTTTGATTCATCAGTCCCCCATACATGCAAGTTTCAAGCTAAGCTTCAGAAGGCTTTGTGCGTGGAGCACGTGACCCAGCAGATTGCCATGAACTGAGAGGGGCTTGGCTTCAAATCCTTGACTTGAAGAGTCACCATACTGCAACCATGCTTTCCGGCAGGTGAGTATTGAACTCAAACAGCCTCACATTCTCAGCCAAAGGAAACCACACACTCTTGAGGGTCCTTTCTGAGAATCTCCCAAAAATCCAGCGACCAAATCCGGAAGCTTGCGATCAGTTTCGCGCCAGGTGACGCTCGGGAAGGGAAAGGATCGCACCATGATCACCCTGCCCGTCGGCACCAAAGGCACCGCGCGATCAAAACGGGGTGGTTCCAAGGCCTTGAGACGGATCGTTGGAGCCTCCAACGATCAAAACTGAGGGTGATGGTTTTCAAAAATGGTCAGGCTTGTCGTCAGCCTTTTCAAGATGCTCGTGTTTTTATTGCAGGTTTTTCCTGTCAACTGCCATCGGAAAGGCGCCCCCAGATTGGGGGCACCTCATATGGGTTCTTAAAACTTAGGGGAACCCCAGAACAGATGCTGGTTTCATTTTGGTTTCCTTTGAAAACCAAACAAAGGGGGTCTCCCAACAAAGGCACGTCATATCTTCGAATTGAAATGGGGGTCTGGCGCGAACCAGCAAAATTGAATTTGGTGGGACGTGACACTAGAAAGGGCTTGTGAGTACGTAATTTGGGCTGGCATGTTCCAAGTGGAAACATCAGAATCTCTAGTTAGTCCACCTACGATTGCGGGGTGATTGAAGGGCACTGTTGTGTTTTTGGGTGCCGCCAGTGAATGAAAGGTCTGTATGCCTGAAACCTGGGGAACGCCTTCTGGCACTTGTGCCGGAAGGCTTTTTTGGCGAAGCTCACGAGCTTGCACATGTGCCACCCACACGTGCTTTCTCCGAGAGTCCTAAACCACTGGCCCCTTACCCGCAACCAGACTTGAATGCTTGTGATGGGGAGCACAATGTCAGATGTTGCCTGCAGCCAGCTATCTAGCGAAGCATGGAGAGTCGTTTTGGGAAGCTACTCTTTGGGGTCGCTCGCCAGCCTCCATCTTTGTGTTTGCATTTTTGTTGCATGCCTGTCTGTTCATTTGGGTGCCCGGCCTTTTTGGTTGACAGCTAAGCATTGCTGAGGCAAGGGTTCTGATTGCAAGGATGTTGTTTCCTAGCACGTGGCAGAGTTGTTTGATCGCGACTTGACTTAGGATCTCACAGACACAGCTTTGGAGCACGACATGGTCGCAGCATGCTGCTTGTGATAGTGGCAGTGCCATTTCAGCATTGACTCTTGGACGATTCCCAGCGTGCTGTCCAGAATTGGATTCCTTGTGCAGCATTTGCTGTCCTGGGGAGCCATTCTGCCCCTTTGCTTTCTGCGAACTCTCCCGCAATCGGAGATCCGTTCTGATCTCCGGACCAAGTCGCCGAGTTGCGGATCAAGCGTCGCTAGGTGTTGAGCTGAAAATCGATGCTGATGATGACATGGACATCGAGTTGCAGGACCGACTCGGTGTGTTATGTCCCGCCCCCGCGAATGACAGTGAGGACAATTGCGCTTTGGCTTT